GTGTCAGGGATTGAACACAGGGGCTCTTAACATTGAGCTACATCCCCAGCCCTTTTTATTTTTTATTTTGAGACAAGGTTTTGTTGAGTTGCTTAGGGCCTTGCTTAAGTAACTGAGGCTGGCCTCAAGTTTGTGATCCTTCTGCCTTAGTTTTACATGTAGCTAGGATTATATGGGTGTGTCACCATGCCCGGCTATTTTTTATTTGGTGCTGAGGACTAAACCCAGGGCCTCGCACATGATAGGCGAGCACTCTACTGCTGAGCCACAACCTCAGCCCCTGTTTTTTTTTTTTTGTTTGTTTGTTTGTTTTTTTGGTAAATGGATCTTTATTTATTCATTTATATGTGGTGCTGAGGATTGAACCAGGGCCTCACACATGCCAGACAAATGCTGTACCGCTGGGGCTATAGCTCAGTGGTCGAGCGCCTGCCTTGCACGTGTGAGGCGCTGGGTTCGATCCCAGTACCACGTAAAAAATGAATAAAGAAAGATATTGTATCCATCTACAACTAAATAAATGTTTTTTAAAAAACACATGAAACAGACTAAAAACAGTGCACTAGATAACTAGTTAGCCAGTAGCTTTAGACCATTTTTGTAAACTGAAATAATTTAAGGTTTTGTTATGTATGATTTGTTTATGTCATACGTAGCAAAACTTATTATTCTAACTATTTTAAGTATATAATTTATTGATATTAAGTATGTCCCATATTATCCCATAACTGGTATCTATTTCTGAAATTTTTATATCATCTCAAATTCTACCAACTAATCAATAACTCTTCACCTGTTCTACCCACTCAAACCCAAATCATCCCTATTCTTTCTATCCCTATGAATTTGCTTACTTAGGTATCTCATATGAGTGGAATTGTATGGTACTTATGATTTTGTGTTTGAATTATTTTTGTAAATTTAACAGTTCAGCAGCAATGAACTGGATTTATTTTTTATATGCTTGCATTTGGTGACCAAATATTATATATTGTCTTTTTTATCATTTATTTATTTTTTTAGTTGTAGGTAGACACAATACCTTTACTTTATTTTTATGTGGTGCTGAAGATCAAACCCAGTGCCTCATGCATGCTAGGCAAATGTTCTACCTCTGAGCCACAACTCCAGCCCTGTATATTGTCTTATGATTATATTTTTACAAAATTTTTTTTTGCATACTGTTGTTCTTTTTATTCTTACTGTTGTTGTTGTTGGTTTTTTTTTTTTATCTTTATTTTGTTTATTTTATTTTTAATGTGGTACTGAGGATCTAACCTAGTGCCACACACATGCAAGGCAGGTGCTATACCACTGAGCTACAGCCCCAGACCCTTACTGTTGTTCTTATACAACTGAAAGTAAGATGAGCCAGCCTTAGTAACTTAGTGAGGCCCTGAGCAACTTAGTGAGACTCCTGTCTCAAAATAGAAAATAAAAAGGGCTGGGGATGTAATTAAGTACTTCTTGATTCAATCCCCAGTTTTAAAAAAAAGACAATATTGAATTTGGTGTGACGATTGGACATTTTCTTATAAAGTATAATTCAAAGTATTTGTTTCTTTATGTATGTTTTAAATATTGTTTTAAAAAGTAAGCATATGTAGAAGAAGTACCTGTCCTAATCTTTCTATTTTTAATTTATTTTGTATTTCTAGGTATTTCTATGTTGTCTTCTAGAGCGGGTAGTCCTGCTTCTTTTATCCAGCCACTTTCCCTACTGAAATATGGATACCTTTCTACACATTACCTCCATGGTTTGGATTGGAAAAGATTGCTTTTCTTTTGTTCCACCTTTCAAATTCAACACAGAAAGAAGCCCTTAGGGTGCAGTTATCCTGCTGACTTCTCCCGGAAGAAAAAAAGCANATGTTTATCTGTTTTTTTTTAATATGTTTATTTTATTTATTTATTTTTATGTGGTGCTGAGGATCGAACTCAGGGCCTCTCATGTGCTAGGCGAGCACTTTACCACTGAGCCAGAATCCCAGCCCCGTTAATCTGTTTTTTGATCTATTTGTATTGGTGCCACTATACCTTGTCCTTGTTCTCCTAATCCTTTTTCTTTCCTAAAACCTTGTCTAGCCATAATAGTGGGCGCATTTGAATTGATGTTTTTTGTTAATGTTAATCCCAATTGATCTAGAACATCTCATCCCCATAAATTTATAGGAAGATGATCCAATACATATGGCTGTATAATTTGTTCACATCCTTCAGGATCCTTCCAATCTAATACTATTGCACTTCTATGGGGATTATTTGCCACTCCTAGGCCTTGAAGCGTTTGAGTGGATTATTGTAAAGGCCAACGTTTTGGCCATTCTTGATGAGAAATGATGCTAAGGTCTTCACCTGTATCCAGTAGCCCATTAAATTCATGTCCTTGAATATTTAACTTTAGCATAGGGTGAGACTCTAAATTTAAAGAAAGCATAGCCCAATCTATACCTGTGGAGCCTAATCCCCTGGAACCTCTTTCTACAGTACGACTGGAAAATTTATCATGTAGGCTGGGTATTATTAATAACTGTGCAATTCTATCTCCTGGTGAAATTACTGATATACCCCTTGGAGAAGTGGCTGTAATTTTTATTTCACCTTTAAAATCAGAATCAATTACCCCAGGTCTTATCATAAGTCCTTTTAGAGTAGAAGAACTGCGTCTTAATAATAAGCCTACTGTTCCTTGGGGAAGAGGTTCTTTTACCCCTGTGGGAATGATTTGAACTGCCATTTCTAGAGTTAGTACTGCTCTGGCGGAGGTGCAGAAGTCCAACCCTGCACTTCCTCTGGTTTGGCTGATAAGGGATCTAATGGATAATGTGTGCTGGGCGCTACACTGATGGTGTTGCTGGGTTCCTCCAATGCCCTGTATATTTGTGGTCATGGGCCCCAGAACATTGGGCCCCCCTGTCCATTTTTTGGCAATGGAGTCCAATGTTTTCCTCCACGATATCGTGGGTATACACCTGGTCCTTGTCCATTTTTTGACAACGGAGTACCCTCTACAGTAGTCTGAGAACGGCATTTATAAGCCCAGTGTCTCCCTCGACGACATCGTGGGCAAATACCCAGTATTCTACCTCTTTGATGATATCCAGTTTTGTTAAACCCTCCTCCTATGGGGCAACTCCTTCTAAAATGTCTTGTTTATCCACAATTGTAGCATGTTTTTGGCCTGGCACCTAAAGCCTGTTGTACTGCAGCTGCCAAGGCTTGCCCCTGTTCATTAATGTCTCTACATAATTTAATATATGTATTAAAATCTCTATGTTTCTATGGTCTAATGGCCTCCCTACACCATCTATTGGCTTGTTCCTAGGCTAGCTGTTTCAGTAATGGCATTGCTTGTTCTACATCCCCAAAGACTCTGGTAGCTGTTTGTATAAGCCTATCTACAAATTCAGCGTAAGGTTCATTAGTTCCTTGTATTACCTTAGATAACTGACCTTGTAAATCTCCATGTCCTTGTAACGTTTTCCATGCCTTAACCGTAGCTGAAGCGATTTGTGAGTATATGGCAGGATCATATCCAATTTGTTGCTGCTGACCCTCATAAGGTCCCTCTCCTAGCAACATATCTAGATTTCTCTGAGGATAACCGGCTGTTGCATTTCACTTAGCCATCTCCATACAAAATTCCTGATTAGCAACCTTCCATAACAAATATTTTCCTCCATTTAGCACAGCTTTGCACTTGCTAGCCCAATCTGCTGGTGTCATGTTTAAATTTGTAATGGATTCAACCATACTTACAGTAAAAGGCATTTGAGGACCATAGGTTGTTACAGCCTCTTTCAGCTGCTTCACAATTTTAAAATCTAAAGCATGGTGAATTTGCTGCCCTCCTGCCTCCTCAAATACAGGGCATGCTAATCTTCAAGGTCCTGTCTCAGGATCCCATCTATAAACTATGGGGGTTGGGGGCCACCCAACATATGTTGTCTCCATAGGTGGAGCTATGGGTTGAATACTTACGCCCTCTGGTGATGGAAAAGTGTTAATAGCAGCCTCCTGTTGTAACTTTTCCCCTGATAGCCCTTCCTCCTCTAAACTTTCTTCCTCTGACTAGCTCGAGAGACCTTCTCTTTTATTTGATCTGTTTTCTCCTTCCTCTACCATAGTCTGAACTGAAGGCTTCGGACTAAGCAAATAAGATCAACGTCCACAATGGCAATGTGCCAACTGGCAGAGTTCCTGAGTTTTTCTTTTCCATCTTCCTTAAATCTTCACCATGATAGTCCCATTGTGATATATTCAACAACTCCTCCTTAAGAAGCCATGGGCTACATTTTTGTATCGTATCAACGTATGCCCTAACTGTTATTGGTTTTACTAGGGTGCCTTCCTTCCTCTAGCAATTTACTTAATACTCTTTTGGTTTGATTTTTACTAATTTCTTTTTTTTTAATTTATTTTTTAGTTGTAGTTGGACACAATATTTATTTTTATGTGGTGCTGAGGATCGAACCCAGAGCCTGTCACATTCTAGGCGAGTGCTCTACTGCTGAGCCACAACCCCAGCCCATGTTTTTTACTAATTTCTGATCCCATATTTCTGCTACAAAGAGAACACAACCCAACAAGATAACACAAAACAAAACCAAAACAAAACGAGACAAAAACAGAACAAAAATTCATTGTATCAATTTTTCTATTTTCTTGACATGTGCATCCGTGGTCTATCTCTATCTGTTCCTCAGGGGCGAACAACTTTTCTCCCATCCTATTTATTTCAAGGGACAGGCAGCTTGAAACAAAACGAAAAAAGAATACACTGTTTCTTGAAATGGTCACCCATCCTCTCGCCCTGCCCTCAGGGTCGAGCAGTTTACCCTGTCACTTACCCCCAAGCTTCAGGCGTTCCCTGTATGGGCCACCATATGCTGCAGTCTGGCTGGGCAAAATAACCAAGAGGTGACAAGCAACTTGAAGGTTGAAGCAGGAACTGAGAACTCAAACTAGCGGGCACCCAAGGTAGCGGGAGCCGCTTCTCTGCTGGACAGCAGAGGTATATATACCTAACTAATTACACACAGCTTTACTCAATTAACATCATCTAGGTACAGCAGTCAGCCAATAAGGAATCCTCATCATCTTAATGGCTCTCTGGCATTGCTTCACAAACCACTCCTCCTGGCAAACTGCCAGGTGCCATCTTGACTTGATTTGCATCCCCAACAGGAAAATATTTTTTTCCAGGAAGAAAGTAGATGTTGCACTTTTAAATTTAAGATTGGTTGTTAAGTGGAAAGGAACAAAGAAGCCATGTGGCTTTTGTCATATGGTCACTAATGTAATAATATTTTCTGATTTATGAGACTTTTCAATTAACATTTACTGATAAGCTCCCTAGAAGTTGGCACAGGAGAATGAAGACTTCTGTCAAAAATTTTACAAGCTCAAAGCCAGACATGGCCTGTAATCCTAGGGACTCAGGAGGCTGAGGTGGGAAGATCAAAAGTTTGAGACCAGCGTCAGCAATTTAGACAAACCCGGTCTCAAAAAAGGGAGATGTAGCTCAGTGATAAAGTATTCCTGGGTTCAACTCCAGGTACTGCAGGAAAGAAAGCTCCAAATATTACAGCTTCTGTGTGCAATTTTTATTATTCTTATAGCCATATGGAGTTATGACATACATGTGTTGCTTAACAAAGGAAACATTCACAGAAATGCATCATTAGACAAATGTCTTAAAAATGAACATGGACAGGGCTGGGGTTGTGGCTCAACGGTAGAGTACTCGCCTAGCATGTGCGAGGCTCTGGGTTCGATCCTCAGCACCACATAAAAAATAAATAAATAAAAGATTATGTCCAAATACAACTAAAAAATAAATAATAAAAAAATGTGTACACAGACAAACCTATATGATAAATGTCAACCACTTGATATGGCCTAATGCAATCAAGGGACTTATATAGGAGATACACAAGGCTGCTGCCACTAGCATACTATTTTACAGTGAAAATTATTTGGTAAGTAGCAGTTCTCAAATGATAGTAAATAAATAAACCTGTAAGTTGTTATTACATATTGTATGTAATAGTTTCTTTTTAAATACCTTTATTCTATTTATTCATTTGTATGTGGTGCTGAGGATCAAAACCAGGACCTCACATATGCTAGCAAGCACTCTACCGCTGAACTATAGCCCCAGTCCCTATTGAAATTGTTACTACTGTACTTTTATAGGACTGCATAATAGGTATATTCATATTAACATCATAAATGTTGAGTAATGTGTTGTTCCATGAAGTCACAATGGATACAAGGTCACTAGGTGATAAGGAAGTTTTTTTTTGTTTTTCACCTGAATTGTATACTTAAGGGATTATCTTCTTACATTCAGTCCACTTTTGGTAGAAACATTTTTATATGGCACATGACTACTTTTTTTCAACATATATACAACTACCTTTATGTCTATGCATGTATTAATATGAAGGTTAATAGCTACTTTTTTTTTCCCCCCACATCCCTAGCCCTATTTTTTGTATTTTAGAGACAGGGTCTCACTGAGTTGTTAGCATTTTGCTTTTGCTAAGGCTGGCGTTGAATTCCTGATCCTCCTATCTCTGCCTCCCAAGCCACTGGGATTACAGGCATGCACCACTGTGCCTGGCTAATAGCTACTTTTTATTGAACACTTACTATGTGCCAAGCATAGATCTGAATACATGATATATATATAAAATAGCAATTTTATATTTATGAACAATTTATGTACATAATTTTATTTATATATAAATTTATTACATACATGTGTATGAATACAATTTTTTAACTCAGGATTTAACCCAGAGGTACGTTACCACTGAGTTGCATCCCTAGCCCTTTTTATTTTG